TGGTAGAAAATTATTTTTTTATAATAATGGTTATATCTTTGGTTATCTCTTCTGTCGATTCATACGATATCGAATAATAAAATGGCGACCAGCTCTATATATCGAAGCTGAAGTACTCGTCAATAATGAATCATTTCGGCTTTGTCCAACCACTTGGGCTGGACGGTAGAGCGACGGTCTCGCTTCATGCAGGTCGGCGTTCAATCCCCGACCGTCCAAGTGGCTGGGCACCATTCCTTCCCTCCGTCCCATCCCAAATCCTTATCCTGACCCCTTCCCAGTGCTATACAGTCGTGATGGCTTGGCGCTTTCCCCCCCTGATAGTTTCCTTCCCTTCAAAAGACACGATGGTTTTACAACGGAGTTAATACCTTAACTACAGCAGTAGTACTTACGTGTACATCTTTCCTCAATCATTTGTGATTGAAGACCACTGTTGTTATTCTTATAAACAGGGTGCCAGCGCATTAACTGTTTAATAATTGTAAACGCCACCAAAGAAGCAGTGCTTGCGTACGCAAGTACTTACGAACGTGTACAGTCTTTCCTCAATCATTTACGGCTTTGGTTACAGGATTGCTTATCTAGCCCCAGGATTGTAACAGTTGAATCTGGTCCCAGGGGCGTAGGAAAACTTCCCAACAATCTTTGGCGGCTTTGTTTCCAATTATTAAACAGTTGTTAGCTCCGAAGCACTTATAACAATAACAGCCTCCTGGTGCTTTGCAGCGCATTAACTGTTTAATAATTGTAAACAAAGCCACCAAAGATTGAGAAAAAACGTAGAGGTTTGTAAGTGCTTGCGTAACTGCTTCGTGAATCTGGGGAGATATGATCACTACCTACAACATTCTTAGGGGAATCGACCGGGTAGATAAAGACAAATTGTTTAACGCGGGTGGTACGCGAACAAGGGGACACAGGTGGAAACTGAGTACTCAAATGAGCCACAGAGCCGTTAGAAAGAACGCTTTCAGTGTCAGAGTAGTTAACAGGTGGAATGCATTTGGCAGTGATGTGGTGGAGGCTGACTCCATACACATTTGTAAATGTAGATATGATAGAGTTCAGTAGGCTCAGGCATCTGTACATCAGTTGATTGACAGTTGAGAGGCGGGGGCCAAAGAGCCAGAGCTCAACCCCCGCAAGCACATCTAGGTGAGTACAGAACACAGTAGGATGTCCAATCGAGTATATTTTATATATAAACACAGTATATTTTTGGACTGTTGAGGGCCTTTGAGGCAATGTCCCACTTGAGACTGGTGGCCAGTTTTGAGAAACAATTGGGTACTACAGGAATACTATTGCAGTAGTTAAGGAAGATCTTAAGCAATATCAGGTAAGGCGTCTCGACAGTGGGTAACGAATGACCAGAGTAACGACACGTTACTTGGCTCCATCATATTTTATATATATATATATATGAGTGGTTAGTTATCAGAGGGATAGACTCCATCTCATCGGTGTTTGCTGATGAGGAAGGACTTAAGGTATCAACTGGGAGAGAACACCTTCCTGGAGGCCGGACGTAAGGTGTCAACTGGGACAGGACACTGCCCTGGAGGCCGGACGTAAGGTGTCAACTGGGACAGGACACTGCCCTGGAGGCCGGACGTAAGGTGTCAACTGGGACAGGACACAGCCCTGGAGGCCGGACGTAAAGCATCAACTGGAAGAGAACACCTTCCTGGAGGCCGGACGTAAGGTGTCAACTGGGACAGGACACAGCCCTGGAGGCCGGACGTATGGCATCAACTGGAAGAGAACACCTTCCTGGAGGCCGGACGTAAGGTGTCAACTGGGACTGGACACTGTCCTGGAGGCCGGATACTGGAACTCAACATGCAGGTACACATCACATACTAACCCATTAACCTCAGCTATAAACACAAGGCTGATCAAGATAGAAGCTTGCCTTCACAAACCCGAGCAACATGTAACTCATTACTCAGTATACCGTATAAATGAGACTAATTTTGGACTGTACAGTTCCAAGATGAGATCCGCATCTTGCCTGATATAAAATACAGCTGGGAAAACTTCAATCCTATGACTCGAGACTCGTCCCAGAGCTGAGAAGCAGGTGGGGGGTGTGAGTGAGGGTGTGAGTGAGGGGTGGTGTGGGGGGGGTGTATGTGAGTGAGGGGGTCACGATGGGGTATGTGAGTGAGGGGGTCACGATGGGGGGTGAGTGAGAGGGTCACGATGGGGTGTGAGTGAGGGGGTCACGATGGGGGGTGAGTGAGGGGGTCATGGGGGGGTGAGTGAGCACGGTCACAGATGGGGTGAGTGAGTGAGGGGTCACGATGGGGGGTGAGTGAGAGGGTCACGATGGGGGTGAGTGAGAGGTCACGATGGTGGGTGAGTGAGGGGGTCACGATGGGGGTGAGTGAGGGGGTCACGATGGGGGATGAGTGAGAGGGTCACGATGGGGGGTGAGTGAGGGGGTCACGATGGGGGGTGAGTGAGGGGGTCACGATGGGGGTGTGAGGAGGGTGGTCCACGATGGGGGGTGAGTGAGGTGGGAGTTGGGATGGGGGGTGAGTGAGGGGGGCGCACGAGGGGGGTGAGGAAGGGAGGGGGTCACGATGGTGGGGTGAGTGAGGGGGTCACGATGGGGTGATGTGAGGGGTCACGATAGGGTGAGTGAGGGGTCACGATGGGGGTCACGAGTGAGGGGTCACGAGTGAGGTGAGTCACGATCACGATGGGGTGAGTGAGAGGGTCACGATGGGGTGTGAGTGTTGGGGTCACGATAGGGGCGAGTGTGGGGTCACGATGGGGGCGAGTGAGTGGGTCACGATGGGGGTGAGTGTGGGGTCACGATGGGGGAGAGTGTGGGGTCACGATGGGGTGAGTGTGGGGTCACGATGGGGGTGAGTGAGGGTCACGATGGGGGGGGTGAGGGGGAGGGGTCACGATGGGGGGTGAGTGAGAGGGGTCACGATGAGGGTGAGTGAGGGGTCACAATGGGGGGTGAGTTGAGAGGGTCACGATGGGGGTGAGTGAGGGGTCACGATGGGGTGAGTGAGGGGTCACGATGGGTTAGTGAGGGGTCACGATGGGGTGAGTAAGGGATCAGGATGGGGTGAGTGTGGGGGGGGGTGTGTGAGTGAGGGGTGTGTGAATGAGGGGTGTGAGTGAGGGGTGTGAGTGAGGGGTGTGTGAGTGAGGGGTGTGTGAGTGAGGGGTGTGAGTGAGGGGTGTGAGTGAGGGGTGTGTGTGAGTGAGTGAGGGAGGTGTGTGTGTGTGAGTGAGTGAGGGGTGTGTGAGTGAGTGTGTGTGAGTGAGGGAGGTGTGTGTGTGTGTTAGTGAGTGAGGGGTGTGTGTGTGTGTGTAAGTGAGGGAGGTGTGTGAGTGTGTGAGTGAGTGAGGGTGGTGTGTGTGTGTGAGTGAGGGGTGTGTGTGTGTGTGAGTGAGGGGTGTGTGTGAGTGAGTGAGGGGTTGTGTGAGTGAGTGGGGGTGTGAGTGAGGGGTGTGAGTGAGGGTGGTGTGTGAGTGAGGGTGGGTGTGAGTGAGGGGTGTGAGTGAGGAGTGTGAGTGAGAGGGTGTGAGTGAGGGGGGTGAGTGAGGGGTGTGTGAGTGAGGGGTGTGTGAGTGAGGGTGTGTGAGTGAGGGGGTGTGAGTGAGGGGTGTGACTGAGGGCAGTGAGTGCGGGCTGTGAGTGAGGCCTGTGAGTGAGGGCTATGAGTGAGGGCTGTATGAGTAACCAACAAACTGCTCCCCACAGCCACTAACCCACCTACCAAAATCAACCTTACAACACTAGCCATAGACACTCACCACATGAGACCCACAGTCAGCCAGCCAGTCAGCCAATCAACTCCCCGGATCCCCCGGCGGACCTTCAGCCAACCCG